GGTCGCTCGTAAATCGAGAACCGTTTTCTGACACTGGAAACTTTACTGAAATATTGCTGAGCGATATTGATGTTTACGATGTTTGAAACTTCCTAGACATTGATTTTCTCGATAACAGGAAAATTTATTGTTTTAACAGGTTGGCTTTTATTTCTTTGTCGAACAGAAGTTCAAGGGTACCTGAAAAAACAATTAGGAGAACGAACTAGAAGAGTAGTAATTAAAGAATTTTTAAACAAAACCAGGTGTGTTTCTGTATCGCGATTCAAACAGAAAATTGTTATCTAGTCTCGTTAATTAGTAGAAGAGTTTCTAGATGGACGATAAACAGTAACGCTACTGAATATATTGGTAACCTAGATACAGCCTCGTCCCATATTAGCAATTCTAGTATATGACGGCATTTTTCTTGCAATATTCCTATACTCTGTCGTCTAACGCGTATACTTATAATTAATCGACGATACATGTTAGACATGGATTGCAACCAATTTCCGGTCTGTCTAGTATAGAATTCCTCGCCTTCTCTTCGGAGGAGAAGCTAACTGCATCTTCTTGAAAGATAAATAGAGACTAATTTGCCCTAATTTTCATCAAACTTATTTAATACCAGTAAAATTATCAGAATAAAATAATTCATATTAGAAATTAGAAATTATTGGAATAATTATTTTGAGAAATAGGATTAGATTTTTTTATTTATAATTGTCTATTGATAAAATATATTTGTGAATACATATATTTAAAGTGAATTTTTTGTTAGAAATTAATATTAGTAATATTAATTATTCTAATAATTATCTCCAATATTAAGTATTTCCTAATTTAATAATTAAAAATTATTTTTGTGCCAGATATTGATCACCTTTTTCTTAAAATTATCTAAGTAAAATAAGATATAAATGAAAATTACCTAATTAAATCAGCTTTGAAAACAGTAGTGATAATTATTAGACTATTACTCAGCATTAAGGAGAACCGTTATACAAAATCATAAGCTTTACTAATGTTTCTAAGAAATTTCATTAATGTTCCTCTAATGTTTCTTCCAAGCTTAGTCATTTGAACTCTGTTTTGACAGTTGAAGCGTAAACGAGTCGTTTTTATTAGAACGACAGTTAAAGTCTTCCGTCTTTAGATCACGGTTGTTATTTGTGTCAGTACCATCATTCTCTAACGACAGATAAAAATCATGTCCCCATGTTTGTGACCAGTAGTCTCCTAGGTAATCCCAGTTACGTGTCCTGTATTTCTTTCTTAGCCATCATTTTTGCTTGCATAATTATGTAACGCATACATTTGCACTTATTAACCACACCCAATAGGCAAAGTAGCAATAAACAATCACAAAGCTGCAGAATGTTAATTTTTCTTTTTTTCAATTACGTGTCTCTTTTATAGCTGGAAACTTGTTTCCTTGATTACAGTTAATGCATTGCATACCGTGGAGGTCACCACTATCTGGCATTACAAATTAGATATACTCGAGTAATTAATAGAATAGCATTACTGTGGTATTAACACGTTTGGCAAAGAACGTTTGGCGGGCTCTATCATCAGTATTAACCCTTGAACAGCAGAGCCTGGGTCAATGTGGACCCAAATTTACAAAACCTATAACGTACAAGGATGTTAATCTAAAATTTAATGTATAATTTTTAAACGAAAGAGTTTCATATATTAGAAAAATAATTTTTAGAAAAAACCGTGTAAAATTTATAAAATGAAAATATTATGAAATGTAAACTTAATTAGTCCGCCATCCGAGGGTTAAAGTGTTGAGATATACAGCGACCGGCTCGCTTCTAGATCTTGGAAGCGTAAAGTAGAAACTTTAAAATTGAAAATTTGAAAATTAATTATATTCTTGTTATTAATAATTAGAATTTAAAATTTAATTTTCAAGATTGTTATTCGATCACTTCGTTCTTGGATGCTTCAAAGTGTGCATCCCACTGAATGGAACAGTTAATATTTATTAACGTTATTACACCTTATTAAAAATTATTAGTCGTCATTAAATATTAATGGGAAGTCGTTTGTATGTGACGGAGGGTGAGTCTTGGATTTTTACGTCCTCGTTGCTGGAATAAATTAAATGCCTCTTCTCTACAATAAATACTGTTTAAGTAGCTTGTTCTTTTTATGACACTTAATTTTTGCTAGGAAATTGCATGCTTTATGGCCTCGATTCCATGGTATTCTTATTTCTTTTTGAATAATTTTTTCCTCTCTAAGTGTTTATCGATGTTTTGAGAACCTCAGTTGTATAGTAAATTTGAAAATATATTTAAAGTAAATTGTTTGTTAAAAAATCAGAAGATTTTCGAAATTTTCAGGAACCTTTGTCAGAAAACCAAAAATGGAAAGAATTAAACTCAAATACAATAAACTCTTGCTATATTTCCGGTTAAGCGAGCTCCACTCTATTTTCTCATACACCTGTTAGAATTTTCCTACAGCGCCGTAACCGGCAAAATAGCGGGAGTTTATTGTATTATCACAATATTAATAAGGCATAAAAATAATTCGAAAATCATGATTGCACCACTGTATGAATTTAATGTTTCTTACATCGAAACGCAAGAGCAACTTGTTAGTCATATTTTATGATAGTTAACTGAAAAATACAGTAGCCTATGAATCATTTATTGAACAAGCTGTTCGTTATATTATTTCAAGCATGTGATGAAGTTACACCGTAAAACTTCTCTACAGTATATGTACATGGTGGAGAAGCGGCGCCACGCATAACGAGTGTTTCCATTCGCTTTATTGATATTCCATTGACAATCTATTGGCACCCAGGGGCGTATCGCGGAGTATGACTTCATGAACTTGCTTCGAAAAACGGCATCGCGTTTACAGACCGCGTGGGAGTTCCGTTAATCCGTAGGAACCGAGCGAACGAACGAGTCCTCCACTGGCGCAGGAAGTCATAAACTCTAATTGTTACCATTGTTCGTTGTTGAACGGACGATTGTTAATCGTTACGCGTTTTCCTAATGACCACACCTTCGAACGCGGGTGTTGCAATCTCGCAAGATTTTGGTAATTAGTCGTCGATGAAGGATTTGGATTTAACGTCCGTGTTGAAGCTGTTGGGAAATTTCAATTGTTAATGAAAACATTTTTAAGTAAAAAGAAATATTTGAATTTAAAAATGTTAGAATCTTAAAACCTCGAAATTTTAGAATATTAGAATTCTAGAATGGTGAGTGGGCATCAGTTCAGATTTTGAGGGGCCAGGCCTACCCTATTCCCTAATCTATTATAGTTTCGCCAATGTGTGGATGACATTTGAATTTCTATAAAAATTTAGTAGCCGTCTAATCAGAAATTCTTTTACTTACTGAATAAAATATATTAGACATTAAAACTTTGGTGTAATAACAATTAGAAAATATTGTGAAGAATAGTAGATAAAATTAATTAAAAGTAGGAGTGCTATCTAATAAAACTTTCAATTAATTCAGTTAATATTATCAAATTGTATACAAAAAAAAGGACAGGCTAAAATAACATTCCATTTCCTGGAAGGAACCTGATCACTTCCGGTCAACGAACGTCAATAAGGAAGCCTGCTTCCCCATAAAAGAAAACTTTTCCCTTCGCTATTATTTGCCAATAAAAAAACTAAAGAGATTTTACGTCAGTCTAAAAAAAAGAGTTCTACGCCAGTGACCTGAAGGGTCTGGCCCGGATCCTCCGGCTCCTCTTGTCACAAGAGTGTCCCAGCATCGCTTTTATGGGTGTTTTTCTTCCGTCAGGTTAGCCTGGATTTCTTCCTTTGAGCCCGTTTCTTTCTTTCAGACTTTGTAAGCAAACTTTGAAATACGCCCTTCGAAAAACGGTCGGTGCAATATTCTATTCCTTTTGCCATCTAAATCGCGTCTTGCGGCTCTGCAGGAGCAATTACGCGAAGGACCGACAAAGAATTCTTACCGTTTTTCGCGGCGCTGATTCTTCGTTAACAGCGAACGAAAGCACGAAAGATATTCTTCGAACATGTTTCAAGATGAACGCGAATGGGACTTTAATCGGTCGTCGAGCATTCTCGGAATTTTTCGGCAAAGGAAATTACTTTCTTGAAATTTATATCATGGGATAACTTGCAGTACCGTGTAAAATCACGTAACTTCGTGCTATATGTTCTTAGAATTAAACTAAATCTTGTGACAAGTCGTCAGAGGCTAAACTTTAAATGGCGAACGAGAAAGGTTAATAATTTTGTAAGTAACGTTTAATCTCGTCAGATAGTAAAAGGCAGGCAGAAGGAGATACAGGTAGAAAAATTGAATTAAAAAATGATGAATAATTTTCTCTCGAAAGGATGATAAATGGGATGGATTTCAGCGGTCCCTCATCGAGATTCAAATCGTCGCGTCGCGGAGGATGGCAGCGGTAACAATAAGTGTGACAATAATAATAATAACTCATCGTCCCCCGTGGTCATTGTCGTCCGTGGGTTTAATTCGTTGACTTGCGAGGAATGGGCAAAGGGCCCCGTAAAGGCGCACTGAAGAAGACCCCAGCTCTTGATTGAAGCCAACTGGCCGGCCAATCCCGTACTCCGCCTTATTAAAACTCGTGCCGTTGTTTTGTCTTTCGTCTCTCCTTTTAATGCCTGGCATTAACTAGCCGCCTCGAAGCTGAACGTTCGTCTTTGTAACCATTTCTTTTACCTTTTTCCCTTGCCTCTCTAACGTGAACGTACCCGAGACCTGCATCGTTGTTAGACTATGCAAATCTTATTCGTTTCGTTTCGAATCTGCACAGAGAATCGCGAAATTCTCTGCGGAATATGTTAACGTATGTATCCATCAAAGGAACAAGAGAAATACATGTTTTTAAAACATGAAAGAGTACCAACGAGAGCCTTGAATGTTGTCTTTGTTGATTTTAGTAAAATTTCATTGGATCTGCACAATTTTACACAAGGAATTTTGAAAAATAAAATATGTTTTAATTCTGAGAAATATGTATTCGGATGGTAAAATATATAATATCGATATAATATCAATGAGGTTTCAAATTTGAATTTGAGGGTCCTATGGATAGTGTTGAATTCAGATATTTTTCAAAGGAAAAGGAGATCAAAGAACAATTTTAGAGAATTTTCATTGAGAACAAAATAGTTCTGCGCAATGTCAGTGTTCAGGTCAATTTATACACTTTAAACTTTGCCCTGCGCCTCCATCACCCTGGCAATCGTGTGACGTTTCTTCAAAATATCGTGAAAAGAATCTCAATAATCCACGTAGTAAGGATGATCATTACACTATCGAATCTACATAATAATAGGTTTAAATTATTCAATGCATTGGATGCATGCAAGAGGAATAAGTATCGGCCTAGAATTGCGTAAACATTTACAGAATTACGTTCTTTTTTCTTCCGTCGATGACGATTCCATTTTGCGTGCCATCGGTGTGACTTGCCTTGTAAAATTCCGCTGATTCGATCATTCAGAAATTCATTTATCATAAGCAACTTTGATTCGTCACAGAAACCGCCACCTGCAGCTGCGAATTGTATGTTTAATTACTCGTTCCTTTGTTATAATTACTATTGTAATAGAAACATCAAATGACATTTTTTTGTTTTTGTTAAAAAGTCTTGGTTTTTTTTGGCACATTCACGCTCTGTTTTTCATATATACCATATTTTATTTTATTCATAGCCATATAAACATGGAACGAAGTCTAATTAAGATGTAATTATAGTACCATGCTGTACTTGTCCTATTCACCTGTCCTAGTTTTCCTGCTGTAATCTCTGTAATTAATAAGATGTCTACTAGGTTGATTATAAAAGATGTTTCATCGATATTCCTCTATACTTTTTGCCTTGATATCGGTAACATCTTAATGAAGACGCGAGTATCCTAGAGCGCTGATGATCTTATGATTAATGAAAAAAATTTTCTGCTTTCTGAAAGTTGCATAGAATTCTGAAAATTGTATATTCTACAAAAATTTTAAATTTAGAAAATCGCTGTTGTCAATTTTTTGAAATTTTCAATACTTACTGATTATTTTTAAAAAAATTTACTTCTATTATATTTTTGTGACGATGATCACCTTTGAACCCGATGTTATGTAACATAATAAGTAATGATATTTTGCAAATTTTTCAAAAACGAATCGCCGTAATAAGCATCGCAGAGTGGAAATCATCGATTCGCGATGCTGAAATACACGTGGAACAAAATCCGAGTAAATAACTCGACTACCTTACCTGCTTCTGTTTCTCGCGTGCTCTCCGACTCGCCTACCACTTTTTCATGTGATGATAGTTGTCTTCAGATAAAAACAACTCACGGCTGAACCCAGTATATTTCTCTTCGTTGAGGAACTATACGGATGAACAAGCTTACTATAATACACTAGATGTTCAAATAGTTAAATATATCAAGAGAGATCGTAAAATTAACCCTTTGTGGACGATAAAAAAAATTGTTATGGTGAATTAAAAGTCGAATACAGGTTGGCGTAAGGTGGACCTTCTACTACGGTTGGTCAAGTCTCTTAGAAATTTTTGAATTTCTAGAATTTAGAAATCTTGAAATTTTTGAACTCTGGACTCTTAAAATATTAGATATTTTTTACAAATTTTTTGTAATTACAATTGCAACTTATTTTTTTAAAACACGTTCAGAGTGAGTCTAGATTAATTATTAATAATTCTGGTATTAATTGATTAACTGGACTTTGAATGCTTTGTGATTAAAATTCTTAGAAATATAGTAGGAAGACTGTCGATGACATATCTTTGTGATGACTTTAACGACGCATTCTTGTTAAAGGCAGGTGGGAATAATTGTGGTGTAACTTTACCACGTTGATTGCTCAGTAATGATATTGTTGAAGGAACATCTGCGTCAGATTACACGGTCGGTGCTCAACTTTGCACTTAGAATTACAAATTATCAATTAACAAAGTATGCATTCGATGCACTTTTCACGCTCTTAAATACCAGTCTATGAATTATAAAATATCTTGAAGACAAGAAATTATGGAAATTTTTACATTTACAATTCCTAAAATCCTGGAAATAAGATCTAAAGGATAATTTTTTTAATTCAATCTTTTTCTATTTTATTAATACTGTTATTTAATACATTAGATAATTCCAGTTTAAACTATCCATCTATTAGATGTACAAATTAATTCGTTTAAATCTATAAAAGAGTATTAACAATTAAGCTTAGGTGCATATTTTTAAACGACAGAGTTTCATATATTGGAAGAATAATTTTTTAAAGGAACAGTATACATTACATTAAAATTGTTGCTCTCTCCATGGTCCATCGTCCAAGGGTTAAGTTATAATAATTTATATTATTATAATATAAGTTATTATAAATTAGCTTGTAAAATCATAATAGAAATAAATATGCAAAGAATTTTACACTGTTCCTTTAAAAAATACAAGTACCTCACAAAATTAATATAATATTAATGGTCCTTAGAATTTTTCAAATTTTTCCTTTTAATCTTTTTCAATTTTTCAATTATATAAAACTCGTGATATCGATCACTGGTGGCCTTCGCGTGTTAAAACTGTTAACGGAATATTTTATTGCTCATAAATGTTGAAAAGGTCTGCAAGAAAATGTCAAGAATAATTAATGAAAACATCAGGTGTTATGTCACTCGTTGTTAATCTAGAAATCGTGTCGGCGGAGAACATGACTTCCGGTTAATTCTCGCGGAAAAACGGGCGGCAAGCCTCTTTTTTTTACTTTCAATTTTCGCTGAACGGAAACACGCAGGGGACCCGTGTCGCGAACTACTTCCGGCTTCGCGATTTTAATTATAATTAGTCACGCGTGTATCTGTTGGTGCTTCCTCCTTCTTTCTCGTATTTATCAAACGTTGTCTGTAAGGATAAGATAATTTGTCGTGTGTACGTAGTACGTACGGCGGCGTGTAGTTTTTATCACTGTTCTTCTTGTAACTTGTTATTAAGTGGAGGAAGCTCTTCGGGCAGCTGCAACCAGCCTTTGGAATTCGACGCGTGATCGTAAGAAGGAATGCGACAAAGATTTCCGTCGTTAAATGAAAAGTGGTAAACAATGTTAGTGTTCCTAGATTTTTAATAAAACTGTAGTAAACATTCTTTTAATGGTTCAAATTCCGAGGGCTTCATTTTTTAACCAACTTCGAGAAAGGAGGAGATTACTCATTTATTTCTTTTATCACAAAGTAGCAATATTGCGAAAATTAATTTTGAAAAAATGTAAAAATTAGATATTGTGTAATTTTATAAGGAACTTTAAATTAGTTTGTTTTTTTATCAGGAAATATTCTTTAACATGTATTTTTATAATACGAGATAGAAAATCTTGCACGGTTCTCCTTAATCCCCCCAAATTCTCGAAACAGTATGTTGCACACATGTCCAACATCTGTCAACGGTTGCACAACACGATTTACAACAAGAAATATTTGCTAGACTTCCTATCAATTAATTTTCATCGAGAAGACGTCTCGTCAAGGTCTTGACGTTCACTACAGCAGCTACATTCTTCTAAAATTACAAGATAACATCCCTCTGTAAATATCTGTTAAATAAGAAGTTTAACCCTTTCAGAGTAGAGTAAAATGAAATAGAACTATACAAGAAAACATGGATATTTAGTATTAAAATATTATTAAAACAATATTACAATTTTAAATTAGATTCGAGTATTTAGATTTGTTTGCGACCTAATATTTTGTATTTATTTTATTCATACGATAATATGGAGATACTGGGAAAGACAAGAATGTCCTGTTGTAATGGAAACGGTAAGAAAACGGAATATAAAGCAACTTCTGAAAGGAATAATAAACTGTTCTTATGGGGTTTCTAGTAGACTATACACTTCCTTGTCAGAGTTTCTCGCGAACTAAATTGTGAAAGGGTTAAACGGTGAACGGATAAAGACGAAACGAGGGTAATGATACAAAGTTGCTTACGATGAACGTGCCGTATAGACATCTTCGAAATATTAATATTTATGAACCTCTTTCTGCAAAGAGAATGCACCTGCGTTTTGCGTATGCGTACATGCATGCTGCCACAAAGCTGCACGCGAGCATTTTTTTTCTTTCTTTTTTCAACTTCCAAACGCGTGCAACGTGTCATAATATTTTTCCTTGCTACACTTAAATTGGTATTGTAGCATTGGAAAGCAGAGCGTTCAAAAATAGTAGGTTATACGTATATTCCTCATTAATGAGCTTCATATGCGATGGTGCTCTACAGTTTAATAATAAATAAAAGTATAATTGATATTGCAAGATAGGAAACTCCAGATAGAATCTTTTTTTAGTGGATATAAAAAAAAATTGTCTGGCAAAATCTATCAGCAATTGTAAAATATTCAATTAAAAATATTAATAAGATTAACTATTTGAGATGTGAACATGAAATTTTCGAACCACATTTTTAAACGTTCCTTTCAATTCGTCTCTAATCTTAACCATATCAAATTGAGTTTATAACAGCAGGTGCTAGGGGCAATTTTAATTTCCTCGAATGCAATTACGTTCGATGTTCAGTTAGGAACAATAAAAGTCCGCAAGCCAGCTGATCGTTTCATCCGGCAACAAGTTACATTTAATTGGCACGAGAAATTGGGAATAGGGATGTATTTTGATATCCTAATAATATTTGAATTATGAGTTAATAGTTATTGTGACAATGATATCGTAAATTTATAATTATCCAGTTACCACTCACCTACATTATAAAGATTGATATTTATTATTATTTTGATTATTACAGTATATGGCCCAGAATTTAGAATCTATAAAAATGATTAAAATGAGAATTTACCTATTTATATTTTATGGTTTTAAATGAGGGCTATAAAATGTAGATCCAAGATTGCTTATAAATTACTTGGCTCTTATTAAATGTTATCGTTTAGTGTACTTCAAATCTCGTTTATAGTATGTCCAGTATAGTTTTGATTAAGTATCAGTGAATTGATTGATGCGGCAATAATTCTTAGAATTACTCTGACTTACTTCCAAGATACAGTTTCGCAGTATATAGATCGTGAAAATTATGCCCCTGTACTCAAATAAAAAATGCAAAATTCAGATGAATGTTCATTAATAGATAGAACAAATCTCCTACCTGTTATTATAAAAGTCTTAAAGAAATCATTTAGCACTGTTAAAATATCTATTAACGACCGAAATGAAGACATTAATTAATGACCATCTTTTGAATTATAAATTAGAATTCTAGAAAGAAATAGAGAAAACAAATATTTCTTAGTAACTAATTGCAACAGATCCTTGTACGTTCAGTTGTATCAAAGGAATATTGAACTCTTCAAAAATCTTACAATATCAGCTTTCTAATTATCGCTTGTTTCGTATCGTTCTAGTTTGAAACATTTCTAATCGTCCTATTGGAAGAAATTGCACTCATGCAGCTAGATAAATGATTAGTTGGTGATTCAATGCCTCTTCTTGGTTGATCTGGGTCAGTGACTATCGCTGATGTAGCTCGTGCGTATAGCCCATGAACTCCATAGCGGTAACCCTATAAGCATGCGTTTCTAATTACCGACAATTATTTTGCTAAAAGAGATCTTATATAAACGGAGTGTTCCATTTTAATTTTTCAGGAAATTATTTCTCACAGTATATTCTTTAAAAATATTTTAAATAAAACTTTGCCTATTTTAAAGAGACAAATCTTCCGTAAAAGCTGCATATTTATGCTTAAAAAAATTAATAATTTCTAAGATATTTCAAATCTTATTTTCATCATAGGTATATCTATCAAATTTAAGAATAATAAATGTGAAATTTAATTTCAAATTATATTTTATTTTCTCATCTTCTGTGATAAAAATAATATCATACGAGAATCTGTACAGTACGATTAACTTATTAATAAATAATTTATTCTTGTACTAGTGACGTGATCATAATTGTGAGGTAGATGAATAAAGAAAATTGTTTTCCATTCTGATGATACTGTAAGATCTCTTGTCTTATACACATAAATTACAAAATCATTGCAAAGCAATTATCTTAAGGTTACCTTTACGAAAGTCGTTAGATTTGTCACAAATTAACTCCTAATCACAGTAAGGTAATAAATCTGTCCGCTAGACAATCAAATAAAGATAAGTTAATAATCTCTGGCGACTTTATAATCGTTTATTCAATTTCTGTGGAGAAGTTGATGATTCAAGTTTCTCTTCTC